GACGTAGACTTGGATTTTCTATACTCTTATTTTGAAACGGAACTGTTCATTAGGGATGTAGTTCTACATAGGTTAAATAGTGGGTTTGCGGAGGTTCGTCGGAATCTGAACTATGTTAGCTTGATGTTAATTAGTACCAAAAACCATCCCGTGCAATTAGGCTTAAAGCAGTGTTTCATAACTTTTGTATTTTTACCATCGGATTCGGACGATCAAGGCTGATGAACATTAAATTGTAAATGCACGTTGTATACCGGATTTTAAAGAATTCTTTTGTTTGGTTTAATGATTTTGAAATTAAAAAAAGACCGTTTTTCAAATGTCGTGTAATCTCTTTGATTCTCGGCGACAAATTGATCCCGCTTGTGACACTGACGTTTTTATGTCAACCAGTACCTTATATACAGATTAATTAATTGAAAAACGGAATTCGGTCAATCGGACCACGAACCCCAATGAATTTAGCCGTAGGTCATGTGTTCAATTCCACTCGTGACACTGACTTTTTTTATCTCACCAGTACCTTATGTAAAGATTAATTAATATTTAATAATATTACCTGAGATTATCAACTGTGCAGGCTACACTAAACCTCTAGTCGTGTTATAGCAACCGGAAGTTTTGTGCCCGAGTGGTAACAATGTTATTAAATTATATTTTTGATAATGTTATTGGTTCTGTGGGAGACTTTGGAGATTAACCATTATATTATTATTGCTGCTTACCAACAGACGAAAGAGAATAATTTTTTATGGCTCATTTCAATGTTTTTTGAAATCAGTTTTTACCTCTTGTTAGAGACCTGAGTAGCAATTTATTTATATTTGCTTTTTTCTGGTGATCTTGTTTATGTGTTAATAAGTAGTTTAATCAACGATGACCAGACAGAATCATCATTCTCCTTGTGGAAGGAAAATCATCATCATCTATTGCTCATCAGCTTGGCATTCATTATTCTTCCGTTCCAAAGACAATTGATAGGTTCTGGGTCACTCGGTGTCTCTCTAGTGGACGAATTCAGAGCATCCCAGAATTTAAAATCCTACGGATGACCGTTTTATTTAAATTCAACTATCCCGAAACGAATTCAACAATTTCTCCCATTTCAAATTTGATCTTTGGAATTTGAGAGTTGACAGAAGAATTGGCCTGGCAGAGTGAAACCTTAGATAAGAAGGCCAGCGAAAGGCCTCATCCTCACCGAGGGACACCGAAGAAAAACACAACACAATAGAACGCTAATCATTAACGATACTGGTAAGGAAATAAAGTCGTATTCATCGCGGGGACAAAAGTGGCCTTTAATATTCCAGATGACCGTGTGAACGTGTCTGGAGAACACCTGGTAAACAGTATCATTTGATCGACATTCGGTCTCTCATGTTCTGGGGGGGGGGGATTTTTGAGGAGTCTCGAACCTAATTGGTACCAATTCAAGGGTGTGTTAAACTTTTACTTCATGGGTGGACTCTTGAATGTGGTATGATAAGGGAAGATGATCCTAAATAATGTAATGCCATTTTTGCCTGTTTTTAAGGCTCTGAATAGTTTTTATGCGTGATAGTGATCGATTACATAAAATAACATGGGTTTCTGTGTGCATGAAGATCATAGCTATTCTAAACCTTAAGGGGCCAGCAATTAAACTGAAACTTTAAATTTGTTTGGAATATTCTCAAAAGAATTTTTGATTACGATAACAAGCTATATATTGAGATTGGCTATATTGGAAGAGTTTGACAAAATGCAACAGGATTTTTACGAAATCGTTTTGGTAGTAGGCCAAAAAATATGTAAGCAATAAGTAAAGCCATAAGGGGTCCTAGGCGGGTTGTATTCACAGGGTTTTGAAGGGATGGAAGAGGCAACCTAAAATGGATATTTCTCAGAATCTTCTGTACCATTTTCAATGAATGCACACGTTTCCCTGTTGATAAACTCACGTTCAACAAGAGCTTTTTTGAAAGAACAGCTTTTTTGGTTTGAAAGAACATAAAAGAGGAAAACATTGAAATACATTTTTCTATCATTACAATATTTTTTCTCAAAATTCGACTGTTATTTTCAAAAAAAGCTCTCATAGAAGTGTTTATAGACCATTTATATTACCGCATAAAAATTTGTAACCAATGTCTTTAAAGGGTTGACTGTTTTTGTCTCTTATGTGTAAAAAACGGTTTTGCCCTTTTATTAACTGCCATTTTAAATTGTAAACAAAATAATTCGAAAAGTAATTCTTTTACTTTTAAAAATAATTTTTATTTTAATCAAACATTATATTTTCAGTAGAAACAAATATTGTATTTTTGATTTATTTAAACCTAAATGTTCTTGTAAAATGCAACCATCTCAAGAATTCGCGATTTTTTCGACGTAAATTGTTTTTTGTGCTTTATTGGAATCGAATCTGTTATGAAAATTCAAAGAATGATTGTATCGTTTTTTAAGCAAGTTTGACGATTAATTTAAAAAATTTGAGTTTTTCTCATTAATTGCTGTACGAGATAAGCGTGGGATCGGCTTGGACAAAGAAGATCAAGAAAAAATTGTAACCCTCCGTCCTGGAAAAACATAAAGAAAAGTTGCAACGTACGTGCCAAAGAGGCGAGCTGAACCTTTCTGGGAGATTTGTAACCTTTGGTGCACACTTTTAATCGAAAACCCGGAGGGGTTAGTTGAAGAATAAAACAAATATGTTCTTCAAAGCTATAAAAGTTTCCTGGGGCGTTTTTCCTTTTGGCAGTTTGTTGAATTTGCTAAGAAGAATATTAAACAGCTTTAAAGCTATTTCGATTTTTGGAGCATTTCCAGAAGAACTGAACACTAATTGTGCTTAAGACATTAGTTACGCTAAAAATCTAATTGATTTTAAAACCGTTAATTTAAGTATTATTCAAAGACAATTTATTAAGGTTTTGGTTGAAATAAAAAAGTCAGCGTCACAAGCGGGATTCGAACCCACGACCTTCGGCCAAATACGCCGCTGCTCTACCACTTGAGCTATTGTGACTTTCGATCCACTCGGACACTAACCTTCCATCTCAACCCCACCTTTTTAATTTTTCCCTCGTTTTTGGCATTTTTATCTAAACCAAAACCTCAATAAATTGAAAAGAATTTATTCGGGCAAGCGGACCACGAAACCTGATAAAATTATTCAAAGTTTAGTTTATTCAATTAAATGTGGAAACCATATAAAATACTACGTTTTTCGGAAACCATATAAAATACTACGTTTTTCAATTCCTAAATTTGTAAAAAATGTTTACAGTTGGTCTTTTGTTTGGGACCTTTGAGAACCCTTCAATATAATGTGGTATTTGTGTTTTGTTTCATTTTTCGATTTGGATTTGTTGGGCTCAAATCTAAATGTGTACGTATGTAGCTACAAACATGTGCAGAGTTAAGCTTATTGCTTCTTGCTGTCCACCGGAAATCCTAGCGTTTGTAATTTAAAATAGATTGCCGGTAGGTGTTGGCAGTCCATGGGCAGACCTCGGGGTTGGGCTCCGAGCGGATGCTGACAACAGCGAGGTCAATTCAGCTTCCATCGCATGCAGTTCCAAACCCATTCATAATTAGAACAAAAATCTTTCATAATATTTATGTAGGTGTATGTTTATGTGTTATGTATGTGGCCGTAGTTGATTATTATTTCAATTTTTCCTTTGCTTTCGCTTTTAACGTATTTGGTCAGGTCAATTAAAATTGTTAGCAATACAATTCTTTTCATCGAAGTTATTCGGACAGGATAAGATAAAAATATATCCAGATAACTAACGATAGAAAAACCCGTTCTTTGTATACCCAGTTAAATGATTCAACTTTATTTCATGACTCACCGCTCCCGTTCAACAAGTTTATCTTACTCATAATTCTATGGGTAAACTTTGGCGGATCATTCTAATTTCAATGTGCCAACGTCAGGACCAATGATAAAGATTGATTGCCCAAATTACATGGTTGTTATATGAAAGAAATGAAGAACCATTCAATCTTTCCCGTTTTCATTTGTATTATTGCCAACAATATTGTTTTATAAAAAAACGAAGAATTAAAGGAAGGAGGTTGAACAGTTTTTTTCACATTCATTTCGTTCGCATAGCAATCATTTATTTTCATTATCTTTTTCTTGTGAGCGAGCGAATAAAACAAAAATCACAATATATATTAATGACTAAAGTGCATATGTAATGGAAATAAATATTTTAAAGAATAAAATAAAAATAATTTAACACTTTTTTAAACTCTCATGCTATCGTAAACTTTGTTTTCTGGTCATTGGGTATAATCTGTAAAAAAGCAAGCGCTAGAGTAATGGCCAATGCTGGAAAGTGGGATCTCAAGCAATGAATCTTGTATGGTGGAGAATGCAGAAAGGAGAAGGATATGCAGAGGTGAATCAGGAGACAAGTAACTGAGTGGTGATAAAGCCAAAATTCAAAATTAATCGTCATTCGCTGAAGAATACCTATTTGAGTGGGAGGGACTGCCTATCTTTTTTCAGACCAATTTCTGGCTCGTCCAGTAAAATATACTATTTTGAATATCTCCTCAGCGGATCCTCATCATTTCAGCAGACCTTCCAGCCTAACTTAGCAAACAAAGTCAAATGTACTAAAAATTTTTTAACAGTTAGGGAATGTGGTATAGGTGATATTTCAATATACTTGAAACCATGCTATAGTTTCATAGTTCTTTTGAAAAGGATTTCAATATGTTCATAGCTGGACGAAGTAGGAATTGAGTTTTTCTTTTTCTTTTCCCTTATCCCTGGTCGTCTTATGGATAAATTTTTTAAAGAACTTTACAAAAAAAATCGATATTTTAATGAAAATCAACTTGAAAAAAACATCGATTTTTTTACCGAGAGTCTATATTGCTTAAATCGATTAAGGTTATCCATGCATTTATTTGGATTCTAAGAAACAAGTTTTTGGAAGAAATACTAGGTTGCTTATCTTAAAATAATTTTTAAATTAAATTATCTTTTTTTCCAGGGTTTTTGAAGACGGGGGCTCGTGGCAGCGTTCAGGGCAACTTCGGGCTCATGGACCTCGTCGCTGGCCTGCACTGGTTGAGAGAAAACATGCCGGCTTTCGGCGGCGATCCGGACCGCATCACGATGATGGGCCACGGAACGGGAGCAGCTCTTACCAACTTCATCGCAGTCTCTCCTGTTGCTAAAGGTGTGCATTTTTCTCCTTTTTAGACTGCAGAACAAAATATCGATCATATTGATTTAAGGGTAATTAATTATTACTTTTATCGTTGCACACAACAACTTATTGAATATAATAGTACATAAGAGTAATACAATTAAATTAATTTTGGAATAAACCAGGTCAATTGAATGTTTCAAATTGCATTAAAAGTAGGATTACATCAAATGAGGTTCTTATACGGTAATCACTGTCCTGATGGTCCTGCCATTACCATATTTATGTAATATATATATATACAGCACATAAACTAACAATTAATAAACTTAATTCTCTCGCCATTTTATTTCTATTTTATTACAGCAAGTATAGGCAAATTCCGTCTCGCGGGTAAAACGTTTAATTTGTATTCCAAAATCGAACATTAAACTTTAAACTTTGTGTAACAATTTCACGTTAGAGAAGCATAAACATCGTAGTTCACCCGTTATTAACGTGTGCCTAGCTTTTCCAGCTAAAGGGAAAATTTGTCTCATATCTCCAGCGGAAAGACATTCTCAATAAACTGAAAATTTAGATATGGACATATTAACATTACATACTGGAAATATTGTAAAATAGTTCAGCGTTCCCTAAGCACTAGAAATATAAAAAGAAAATTACAATAAATCGATTTAGAAAATAGTCTTGCTTAACTAAAATACATATTCATTTCGCCTATCTTTTATGCTCTTTAACAAAAATTGGAATGATGTTTGTAGATCGACCTGCAGATAATCAATGTAGAGTTCAAATCTTCTTTATGGTCTTTACTAGGTGAAAGAAAGACAAAAGTGTTGGGATCACCAAGCTTTCCTAACATTATGTTGCCATCATCAGGGCCTATTTATTAAGAAAAAATATACATAATTAATATAAATTTTTAACAATCAACAATTAAAACAATAATGCATACTTTCCCAAGAGAGAAGAGAAAAAAATTCTCATCGGAAAAAAACTAATGTAAAAGTGCTTTGGTTTAGGTTATGAAGCACATGACCAGCATTCAGTTATACAACAACAAGACATCTATGTAAAGTACTGAGTAATTATTCGCATATAACATTAACAATTGACAAAAATAATAATTTATACATATAATAACATTTTTTTAAAATTACCTCACTAATGAATTCATATAATTACAAGTCCAACTGTTTTTGTTCTTACTAGCTATTTTTGACATTAAAAACATATGTTATCAAAGAGTATTACATTAATGACTAGAATTACAGCTTGTTAAAATGATATGTACAAAGGATTACAATTAAGATGAGAACACTACACAACGTCGCCTCACCTAAGGTTGGACTGTTACAGTTAGTGAAGGCTACGAAGCTCTGTGCACTCTCCATTATGCGCCCTCTGACGGTCGCCACCTTTTTTTCCGTTTTTTATAAATTTCCAATAACCGCGCAAATGTTGAGATGGAACCTAGTTCGTCACCATTTAAATTGCAGGCACACCTCGTTAAATAGATGTATACATTTTCCAACAGGAGTCTTCTCTCAAAGCCAACCTCTCGACCCAAGATCTCAGGGGAGTCCTACTTGAAAAAATGACCCTTCTTTGTAGCATGAGAGGACAACCCTGTGGTCAACTTTTTATGAATACAATCCAATCTATGTTGGTTCATTCTAATGTGAATTTTCTATTTTGTTCTTAAAGAGGTTTTGAACTCTACAAAAATTGGAATATGGAGTTTCAATCTAGAAGGATTTAGGTCATTAGATAGGTGAAGAAAGTAAAGGACTTATTGTTGGGTTCACCCAGCTTCGGCAACTTATAGTGCCATCATCAGGGCTTTACATATGTTCATAGTCTTTATAAATAGCTATAATTCTAGTCAAAATACTCTTTGATCATAAATGTTACCTATAAGAAATTGCTAGTCAGAACAAAATTGTTGAAACCACAATCATATGGATTTTTATTAGCGAGATGACTGTTTTCACCAAGTTAAATGTAATTTGCTGGCCATGTGCTTCATAACCTTAAACCCAAGACGTTTTTACAATAGTTTTACCATGTTCCCATCTTTACATTTGACGCTAAGGGTAAAAATACAAAAATTGAAGGGTATAATTTTCGATCCTCCTTAATTCCAGATAAATAGATAGCTTTATAATTATTTAAAAAATAATGCAATACAATTTAATTATTAAAGTGATTAAATCTGATGTATGTTTTTACCACAATTCGTCCTTAAATATTACGAAAAGAACAGTTATTATGTTGTTTGTTGATCGACCTACAGATAATCTGTGTTGTGTTTCGATCTTCGTAGAGGTCATTAGACAGGTGAAGAAAGAAGAAGACTAATTGCTGGGTTCACCAAGCTTTCGGCAACTTATAGTGCCATCATCAGTGCCTATTTATTGAAATTAAAATTAAAATAAATAGGACCTGATGATGGCAATATAAGTTGCCGAAAGCTTGGTGAACCCAACAATAAGTCCTTTACTTTCTTCACCTGCCTAATGACCTCCATGAAGATTGAAACGCCACATAGATTATCTGCAGGTCGAACAGCAAACATCATATCTTCAAAAATTGGAATATTTGAACACTTTTTGACTTAAAATGTTGAAATAAAAATAAATGATTACGGTTTTCTATTTTAAAATACGGAATTAACAAAAAGAACGTTTTTATTACTTGTTACAACTATTTATAATCATACAAGTCATGCAAAATCAAACGTGAGTATTGTTTTTATCGATTTATTGATTTGAGATCCGATTTGAAGTTCTTTCATCGCTTTTCGATCAATTCCACCTATTCAATAGTGATGATTTTATCTCCGGATCAAATGCTTTCACCTATTTTTTTATTTTTTATTATATCAAAGTTTATAATGAACAAGCGAACTTCACTTGGGAATTGGGAAACAAAACATTGTTTTAGGAGGAGTGTTTTCCACTGTAAGTTTTAATGAAACCAAGTATTTCAAAAATTTTCCCCTCAAGAGGATTAATAAGTAATCAATTATTTTTAATGAAACCGAATTGTTCAAAAGAAAATGATGAGAAGCGGAATGTAGGGTTTTGAAAGTTGGAATCCAAGTTGTAAAACTTAATTGGCATCGGATGTAGGTAAAGACTTATTTCAATAAAAAAAGAAAAAAAAAGAAACGAGGATTTGTAAAGAAGAAATGCGATATGTTGCACAAGAATTCTGAACTAAAAACAAAATTAGGACAGCAGTCGACGAAACAAATTCAACTGATCTGTAAGTTCCCTTGTTTCCTTTATATTATTAAAACGATAATCATATTTAAGTCAGATTTAATATGGCAATTCAAGATATTTCGCTAGACGTGAAGGGCCGAATGATAATCATATTAGATTGACAAAATCATATCCCTTCAAAGTGATATTACTTATTCACTGAACTTTAAAAAACTCACTAATTAAAAAACAGGGATGTTGTGTAAATATAAACTTGGTCTAATAATTTTTTCCCCTTTCTGTTGGGTTGGATCGAACTTTATTCCTACAGGGCAAATCGTTTAACCTCGGTCGGATAAACCTCAAACTTCAAAGATTGAATTGGAGTCTTACTTCAATTGGATTTATTACCCTTGAGGGTGCTTTATGGTCCAATTTATGCTCGAGTTGCCACGCTCTATAGACTTTGTTAAATCGGATGGCTAATTAAATCTCTCCAAACGCAATACCTGTATCATAAAGTTCAATTGCGAAAACAAACTCTCATCGTCGGAAGATAAAAATATTAAACATTCAGGGATTTCATGTGGAAGCGATATGGATATTGCGCATGCAAGTGGATGCGCGCGTGCTATACACATTTTAAATTAGTCGCCCTAAAAAATTAATAGTGCTAATTAAACTCATGGGATTGAACTACCAAAGAACACATAAGTGCATCAAAATGAGGGTTTGCAAAGACCAAAATTGATGTTAGTGATTATAATAAAGAAATATTGCCCTTTTATCACTTAAAAATGATTTATGCCTTTACAATGTGATGCCGTTGTGATGCATCGATTTGCTCTACCTAATTACAAATCGTCCTTTGCTCCAGTTTAATAACTGTAATTTCCGGATTTAAAATCATAATAATCAACGGTTCAATTTGTCAATAGTTTTAACAATTCCTATCAATAAATATTCATCATTATAATTAAAAATATATATATTTTTAAGTATGGCTTCAACCTAAATATAAAATTATTTTTTGTATGTAAGGTCTTGGTTGGAATGAAAAAGTCAGTGTCACGAGCGGGAATCGAACCCACGACCTTCGGCTCAATACGCCGCTGCCCTTACCACTTGAGGTAACGTGACTTCGATTCTCTCGGACAGAAGAAGATCGTGCGTTCGAATCCAGCTCGTGACACTGACTTTTCCATTTCAACCAGGACCTTACATACAAGGAAGAATTAATTAAAAGAAGTAATTTTAAATAAGTAAAAGTAATAAGTAAAACGAAGTATAACTTCACAAACATCTCTCCGTGGCTATTTCATTGTCACACCGACTTTCACACATACACACACACACATATATATATATATATATTGCAAGGTGTGCGACCAAGACCCCGAGGGGTTAAATGCCTGGGTAGACTCGTACCCCATCCCTAAATGGTCCGGGACTTGGTCGGCTCACGTATCCTGCATAAATCTCTTGAACTTGTTCTCAAACCCCAAGATTTTCGACAATTTCTTCTCGGGGAGTGATTTGGTGATGCCCGCTCCTTCAAAGATTTCAAATCTGGACCTACCGCATCTATCACACTCTGCGAGGTAATACCTTGCCCTTTCTTCTTTTATTTCGCAAAAACGGCAAAACGGATCTGATACAATACCCATTATGGAGAGGTGTCTTCTCAGTGGGCAGTGGCCTATCCAGTCAGCATACCTATCAGTCTCCTAATTCCCTTCCTTGTGATAGAAAATAGCCATTTCGGTTCTGCTGGTTTGATCACCTTAACAAACTCTTAAGAAACAATTGGTTTGAGTA